AAAATATACGAGGCAATAGATGACAAAGTTTTAATTGAATTTCCAAGTTAATGCTAAAAAAATGTAAGAGCAAAGATAAGCTAACTAGATAAGTTAGACTAGAACAAATTTCTACAGTTATATGACCGAAAGTTGGCTGGGAATTACTTGACGTTTGCCAATTCTTATTCTCGTTACTTTCAACTCGAGTGATTCATAGAATCTGACGGAGAGAAAGACAAACTGTGACTTGGGAGACCAAGAAAGACGCAGCCTCCAATGAGTCATGAGGCGGATCTAAATTGAATCTTGAGCAGCTGAGTGGAATTTGAGCAAGGCTTACCCCAGCATAGAAACTTGTTCCTCAGGACTCGGGCGCAAATTTAGTATAAACAAATTATACAATTTATGTATACGTGTGTATGTACATTGGTTGTTATATATGCATATTTTTACCATATTCATAAGAGTAACAACGGCGACTGCATAAAAATTATGCGCTGCAGGCCACGCTGAGCCTCCGACACAGAACGGAACGACTCTGACAGTCTCCCGGTATTGGATACCCCATTCCCATGGACTGCTCTGGGCTCCTCCACTCTCGATAGCTTCTCCTGTGGCAGTGTTTGGGGTTTTATTATTTTTTTGTTTCTTGTTTTTTCGTGTGCTAAAGAGCTTCATGTTTAATGATCAAATTGCGTGCCTCGTTTGGTGCCTGTTGGTGCGTTGTTGTTGTAGCTGCTGCTGCTGCTGCTGCTGCTGCTGCTGTTGCTGTTAGTAGTTGTTGCCAAGAGGCCATTGGAAGTGTTTTCATTAGTTTCATTTCTTTTTACATTTGCGCCCAAATCGTCTTTAATTTTCGTTCGCTTACAAATATTTCGCACAATGTAATTTCCCCCAACATTAGCGCTAAGCGAGCGTTAATTTTCGGCAAGTTAAGTGAATTCCATTACATCTCTTTGACTTACGCGCTGGCCAAAAGAAAGATATGTACTATAAACTAACTGACACAAGCTGCCGTTGGGCTGGCTTGGTGGGGGCCAAAGCAACGAAAAGACGTGGAAAATCATTTAGACAAGTTGCACGCCGCTCATTAAATTAAATGAGCCATCAGCACGCAATTTATTTTAGTATTTTTTCTTTACTTTTTTGTTTTTTGTTTTTGTTTTTTGAGTAACTTTTGCCATGCCAGACGTAGACGCAGACGCAGACGCGGACGTAAACGCAGCTACTTCACAGTTTTGCCATAGCTTCACTCCATACATGGCTCCCCCGCTGCCCTCTGCTCTTCAACTGTTTCTTTAGTTCTTTCAAGCCAATTTAATTAAATAGACACCGCGTGCTGCTTAAAAAATTTGATAGAAAATGTGAGATAATATTAAAAGTTGTTTTTAAATTTATAAACATACATGCATACATACATACATGCATTTATATATAAATATATATTTAGAAATTAATACAGTGTATAGACGGACAGATACTAAAATGCCTTGAAAACGTGTCTGAAAGCGGCAAAATGTTTAATGATATTCCAAATATTCAAAATCATATGAGATTCGTTCGTCTGCTTGTATTTGGTTCATTTCATATGTATTTATGCATAAATTAGTTAAAAGCAAAATGACTAATCTAATTTGTAGATTTGTGTTTTGTTTTTGATTTTT